TGCTCGTAGCATTGGAATCGATTCTAATTATATGCAGCTGAATTTTGATATTCCACGCCATTCTAGGGACCTTATCCGTAATAATTTTGGCATTTCACTTCTGTCATTGTGCAAACACCTGTCTGTATGTATGTTAAACGGCAGAAAAGAACCTGGTGAATTCACGTGTATTGCAAATGATGGTAAAAGTGTAGTCGATTACGCCCTGGTATCCCTGGATTTGTATGGCTATGTGACATCCTTCACAATACCAGTTAGGAGTGAGTCCGACCATTTTCCACTCTGTTATTAACTTAGAATGCCCGGTGTACATAATTCAGACGAAAATTCGATTGGAAATAATCCCATTGTGAAATTTCGTTGGAACAAAGAATTATTGCAAATTTATAGAACACGTGTTCTGGAGAAAACTGCTGAAATTAATTTATTGACTAATCAACTGGGGGCTCATGATTTAAACGAAACAGTGACATAACAAGTGAAAAGTGTGTCTGGGAAACTATTAGAAAGAATACGAGTAAAAATCAAACATCTATAATCCCATTACAAGATTGAAAAAACTGTATAACCAGGATTCATGTAACAATGACATAGATCGAGAGCATCTTACTGAATTTAAAAACTTTCTGTATAATTTTGATCCGCATTCTCCAGAATTTGGTGAAACTGACACGACATTAGTTGTGTTCACGTTACACGAAGTACGGGCTAAGATTTAAGCTGATTTAGGCTTATCTAGCATATTTGTATTTTGGCTAGACCCAATTGCGTCCACGCACAGGGAGGGCCAGTCGTTAGCACGGGCTAAGGGGTGCCATTAGTCGGTGACCTTTGGTAAGCCGCTATTTACGAACGAAAAATGGATGATACGCGCGAGGTTCTATTTCTGCTGCTGGCATGTTTCGTTCTAATTTTGAAGCGACGTGCACAGGAACGCGAGAGAAGACGGACCCAACTTATTTGGATGCACATAAACAGTATACAACGGCATAACAGAATACAGAGTTTTATTAATGCATGTCGTAGACAGTGAATCAAATTTATTTTGTCTACAATTGGAGCTGCTGTACGCTCTACTACAGTGACCCGATTAGTGTGGAAGCGAGCGCGAGTAATGACTGGTGGAATATTGTCGTTATACGAACATGGGACAATTTTCACACCCAAAAGTTAGCCCGTGCTAAGGTCTAGACCGCGTCTTAAATTCGGATCAGATTTAACCCGTACTTAGCATTCCTTAGCCCGTGCTAAGCGTTCACGCACGTTTTCTTAGCACGGGCTAAGGAATTTGACCTCTTAGCCCGTGCTAAGGAGCTGTGCGTGAATGCAACTATTGAATGTGCCAATAACGAATTATTAAATTATTCAGTCAATACATAAACTTAGAAATGGCAAATCTGCAGGTCCTGATCTTTTAATTGCTGATTTTTTTCAAATTTTCATGTGATGTGTCGATAACATTTTGAGTGCCCTTTTTAACCTAATTTTTAATACTGGTATTTTCCGAGAAGATTGGTCAAAAGGTATTATTATTCCTATCCACAAGAAAAACAGTCGAAATGATCCCGGTAACTATAGAGCTATATCACTAATGAGTATATTTGGAAAAATCGTCACCAGTAAGCACGACTATCAAAATGGGCAAGGGTTTTTTATATAATCCCAAAGACACAGACTGGATTTAGGGAGGGCTATTCAACTATTGATCCAATATTTACATTATATGCCATAATTCAGAAACAGTTAGCCAGGAAAGAGGGAAAATTGTATTGCCTCTATATAGATTTCCAGAAGGCATTCGACTCAGTTAACAGGGATTTGTTATTATTAAAATATAAATACATATAAATATAAATATAAATATACCAATAATGGTATCAACGGGAAAATGAAAGTAATTTTACAAAGTATTTATAAAGATGTCAAATCATGTGTTCGTGAAGGAGGGGTCACTTCGAGATTCTTTCAATTGAAGAAAGGGGTTCGACAAGGATGCATGATCAGCCCTATTTTATTCTCATTTTAAATTAATGAGCTACAAAGCATGTTGCATGACTCTGGGTATAGAGGAATACAATTGATCCCGAACGACATGTTAGGGTTGTTTTCATTATTGTATGCTGACGTCATTGCTTTATTTTTAAATTGCTTGAAAAGACTAATAAGTATATTGCATGAGTTTACAAACAAGTGGGATCTAAATACAGTGGTCAACTTAAATAAAACTAAAATTGTAGTATACAGAAATGGGGGATATCTCAGTAAATATGAAAAGTGGTATTTCGAGGACAAGCAACTTAGTACTGTTAGTTCATATGAATACTTGGGATTGGTAATGTCATGTAAATGTTCTTTTAATATTACCACAGAAAATTTAGCTAACAAAGGCAAAAAGAAGTTGTTTGCAATCAAAACGATACTTAGGAAATATGCAATGTTTTAAAGCAGACTTGTATTTTAAGATTGTTGACACCTTAAT